TAGGGGGGGGGGGGGGGCCTCATCCATTCGGGGTCAGCATACAAAGCAACTTCAAGACATTCTACCCCCCCAGCAGAAAAAGCAATTTCAAGAGGTTCTACACACGGGCGCAAAACACGTGGCGCGCTGGGCTAATTAAACCCGCCCCCCCCCCCCCCCCCCCTTCGAGACCAGTGCAGACCGCAGCCCCATCACTCGCGGCCGGCCTCCCTCTGGTTGCGCGGCCGCGTGCGTTTCCTTCTTTTCCTCGGGTGCCGACTTTCACCCCCTCCACCCCCTCCCCCCGATGGACCGCCCCCCTCCCCCCGCCCTCCCCGATCCCCCATCTCCCCAAACACACCTCCCGCCTCCCCACCCTCCACCCCCACCGCCTCCTCCTCAATCGGGTCCCTCCCCCGCTTCCTCCCCCGCTCCCCCGCGCCGCCCCCCCCTTCCCGCCCAGTATTGTACGCATTGGCATATCGAGCCTGGGGCGTGGTCTAGTTGGTCCAGCGTTCGGGTCGGGGACGTTTTGGTCGTTGGTTCGAGCCCAGCTGGTGCAGTTCGTAGTCGCGCAGCGACGCGGGCGCGCGGGTGCGCGGCAGCCTCGGCAACCGAGGCGACAGTGGCGAGCAGGGGCGAGCAGGGGCGAGCAGGGGCCAGAGCAGTGCGGCGCGCCGGTTTTGTTTTGCTTCAAGCAACTTGAATGTGTTGGAGGAGATGGCCGGCCGGGGGAAACTCGCTCAAACTCCCGGGCCGGCCCAGGGCGCGCAGGGGTGGTGGAGTCGCGTAGGGGGTGGACAGCGCCCCAAAATCCACCACTGTGGGATTTCGCGCAATCGCTTGACTATGAAAAGCTCGCCGATCCCTGCGGTGAGCGCTGTGGTCGCCGCAGACTGGTTCCGACTTGACGGGCGCATGGAGACGTGATGCCTCCATGCGCCCGTCGCGTCGAAATCGACATGCGAGTCGATCTTTGGCCCGCCAGAGGGATCAGCGGCGTTTTGGGCGACAAACAGCGCTGCGACCGCGAAGTGGCGGTGGACATGCTCCCATGTTGCCGACGCGGCGCCGGAGTGGCCGGCGCTGCTCGCCGCGACCACGACGGCTACTCTGATTCTCCGGGCCGACCCGTCCTACCCGACGGTGGCACTCTTCCACGTCTCGCTCACGCTGAGAAAAATTCTGAAACGGCGTGCAGCAGAGTCACCGACGAGTCGGTCCGCGTGACTCCTCGCGTCCCGTACCGTTCTCATACATCCATAAACTCACTTTGGCCTCACTGAAGCGATGCCTCAATCCTGAATCCTGAGATTTTAGATTAGGACGCTGTCTACCCCCTAGAGTCGGTGGGAGCTGGGAGTGTCACGGAGGCGGCCATTGGCACGCGCTCCTTGGTTACGTGGGTACGAGTTTTTCCTAGCTCTGTGGTCCTCGACGAGTCACGTACTTCGTACACAAGTATACCCC